GTCTCGCATAGGTTCAAAAGAATAAGGCTCGATCTCAGCCATAATGCAAGCTAAATGCAGGTTCGACTCAAGATCGATTCTTCACAAATTTTGTTGACACGAAAAAATGCGTGTGCGTAGTGACGTCACAACATGTCGGTGGATATTCCTTTTATGGAAGTAACCGGAAGGAAAAATGTCCAAAATGGCGAACGTTCAATTTTGAAAAATGACCACAGGTTTTGGACTCTTTTCGGCTCTTTCGAAAGGAAAAATTCACTTTTTCGTCCTTTTTACTACAAATCTAAGCCATTTCAATAGTTTTAAGCTCCCATATAAAATATGACTGCTAGCCTTCCGTTCTCCTTTAAGAAGAAACACCAGAGGAAAATCGCACTTTAATAAACAACTTATTGTATTGAGTTTCTGGGATTTTCTGTCAATTAAAATGCTCCATATCAATGATTTGGTGAAAATATTAGTGGACTCCTCGTGTGTTCTTTTAGAAATAAACGAATCTGATTGCTCCTCTTTTTAAGTTCTGTTCATGATCGTGATAGTGCTCTCCTTCAAATGGAAAAATTATTGTTCCGATTTTCAATGAGCGATAATCAACTTGACTGCAGTTTGTCGACTATTCAATCAAAGTAACCCGGAGTTGGAGTCTAAGTGCTCGCAACGATTTTTTCAGATCTTTCATTTTCCCAAAGAAAAGAAAAAAACAAACTCACATTTCAATGGGATTTTGATTCCGTAAAGTTCTTGATGGAAATGTAACCAGCTTGTTGTTCATTAGCTTGCTGGAAAAAAGGTGGCAAAAAGAATTATTGAGATACGCACAAGAAGACCTGAATGCCTCCAGTATGGCATTCAGTAACTGTGCCAAAGACACAAAAATCTGCAAATATATCGAGAGTGTGCATTCCTGCTAACCAACAAAACGACGTTGGTTAGCATTTTGAATGACGCATGCATTTCCCATCTTCTCAACTCGTAAACATAACTTACTATAATTGAATCATAACTAAATGTTTGTTTTAATTAATGTTCACATGATAAATTTGAAATTACTATATTTATTCACCACAAAGTCAAGAAATTACACCTTTTGCTGTTCATTTACAGAAAATATCCATTCATTTGTGTCCAAATTTGTTTCATTANCTGGAAAAAAGGTGGCAAAAAGAATTATTGAAATACGCACAAGAAGACCTGAATGCCTCCAGTATGGCATTCAGTAACTGTGTCAAAGACACAGAAAAATCTGCAAATATATCGAGAGTGCGCATTCCTGCTAACCAACAAAACGACGTGCGATCGAAAAATTTTGCCATTTTGAATGGCGCATGCATTTTCCATCTTCTCAACTCGTAAACATAACTTACTATAATTGAATCATAACTAAATGTTTGTTTTAATTAATGTTCACATGATAAATTTGAAATTACTATATTTATTCACCACAAAGTCAAGAAATTACACCTTTTGCTGTTCATTTACAGAAAATATCCATTCATTTGTGTCCAAATTTGTTTCATTATGGTTAATATATTCTCATTAACACCAATATGACCTTCATTTGGGCGTAAGGAACGTTCAAAAATACATTTGCATATGAATTAACATTCAAAACCACCAAAAGATAAACAATATCTTCCTTTGACATTCATTGGCTGTAAATGTATTTTCATTTTTGCCGAAATAAAATTCGTTGTAACGAAACGACAATCATTTACACTCTTGGACAATCCTTTTTCAATAAAAGACTTTCAATGACAGAATTTGCACGAGCACTCACAATCAATTGCATTATTATACAACCATATCCGTGAAGGTGACAATCTTTAGTACATTGAGACAGACATTACCGTGTATTCACCTAACATTAAGAGAAAACAATAGCCCATTAGCGTAATTCTTTTGAACAGAGATGTAGAGCCCAATTTTCCTCGAAAATTTGATTATAGACCTAGGGACCGTATGTACCTTTTTTTAATCGTATTTTCACAATCGTCCCCTTGCAGATATAAATTCAGCCTCTTACGAACCTTTTGCGTACAACTCAGAGGGCGCACTTCAGTATACATGTGATAAAGTGACAGTTAGATTTCGCCACGAATGCCACTAAGAAAAAGAATCCCATTTGAACGCAGCGAAAGGATAATCAGGGCCTAAATGTGGACAATGGTATCGTTTTATGCAAACATATTTGCCACGATGCCTCAATAGTAAGGCAATTGAGGGATAAATTGTTCAGCAAATTTGATACTGTCTCTTCCAAAAATAAATGTCATCATGGCTGTAATGTTTGTTTCACCGCACTTAAGATTGTCACGTTCATGGATATGGTTGTATAATAATGCAATTGATTGTGAGTACTCATCCAAATTGTGTTATTGAAAGTCCTTTGTTGAAAAAGGATTGTCCAAAAGTGTACATGACTGTCGTTTCGTGACAACAAATTTTGTTTCGACAAAAATGAAAATACATTTACAGCCAATGAACGTCAAAGGAAGGTATTGTTTATCTTTGATGATTTTGAATGTTGATACATATGCAGGTGTTATTCTTGAACGTTCCTTCCGCGCAAATGAAGGTCATATTGGTGTTAATGAGAGTATATTGACCATAATGAAACAAATTTGGACTCAAATGAATGGATATTTTCTGTTAATGAACAGCAAAAGGCGTAAACGATCTACCCAATTTATGTCTGTCTATTGTTTCAAAATAAGTAAATCACACTTACATTGTTTCAATTGATACACCTTTTAAAGCATCTTCATGGAAAGATTGTATTTGGTTGTTAGAAAGATCCCTAGGAAAAACAAAGATGAAGTCAAATAACAGGATGTTATACAATCTACAACAAACGCAGGGAAATAAAACCACGTGTAATTAAGCTGTTACTTTGTGACTGTTCTCTCCTTTTGTAAGATATACGAATTAAGAAAGTTTTATAAATTGATATTTACAGTGTCTTTACGGATGATCCAGAATCTCCAAACAGCTTTCGTGTAACAGCTTGAATGGCATTGTTCTGAAGTTCACTAAGAGAAAATGGAATTGAACAACAAAGCAGCTAATTATAATTAAATGCCAAGTGGCGTGGAAAACAGAAGCAGCTGAGCACCACCTCCCCCTCCCCCCTCCCCCCCTCTAACCCTTGAAAGTACAAGGTCTAAGCTGTAACCACAACCAGTCTAGGGAATATGCTTTTCTGAGATATCTTTCAAAGTAACAATATCAAGCTCATTTGACTGAGTTGTCACAATAATAGTCATGAATGGGAATCAAATGGTTTTTTGTTGTTTCCTCGTACTTACAGGATTCCATTAGTTATTCTGAGCGACAGGAAAGGGTTTTCTTCAAACGTGGCAATCTTGCTGCTATACAGTTCACTGGAATAATAAAAAAAATGCAAAAGATACTATTAGATAAATTACTGCGATCATTGCTACAGAAATATAAGCACAGGTAATCACATTTCGAAGGCGACTTAGTGTAAATAAATTGGTCAAAGTCTGCTTATTTATTCCAGATTGCATGAGAATGACCATATGATGACTTGTTGATTATGCACTTAAAAAAGTGACTGTTTACAATCTTTGGCTTTACATTAATTAATTTAGACAGCGGACAGTGGTTATCTTGTTTAAAATATCTTCAGAGATTTCGGAAATTAACCACCATGTTGGGAAATTTCTGGAAATCTTCGGGTGATCTTCGGCAATCTTTGGAACTTCTCGGATGGGTTCGAGTGATTTTCAAAAATGGTGGAAAGTGTTCGGGTGATAATCATTAATTGTCGGAAGGCTTCGGGTGATCTTCGGAAGTGTTTGGAAATCTTATTATCTTCGGCTATCTTTGGTGGCCGCAGGCAGTCCTCAGGTGTCTTCCTAT